GCGCCACCCTTTACGAAAACCCCCTAAAAAAAAAAAAAAAAAAGACATAGCCCTCACTCTCAAGCAAGAGAGCAGAGACAGACATAAATAATTATTGCCGAAATGGAATACATCTATGCAGGGTATATACAACGGGCTAGGGAGGGCATGTTCCTAGTGAGTGAGTAGGACTTTATGAAGAAGCTCAGCATATTTAGAGGGAAAAAGATGTGAATATAGCGTAGGGTGTGGAAAGATGAAGGCAGATATAAAACCTAGTGAACTCTGGGACCAGCAGTTGGCGTAATGGCTATGTTGCTGGACTCCCATGTAGTTGACCACTGTTCAAGTTCCAGACCCGGTAGCTTAAACTCACACCGAGCACGCATATGTGCATGCCCAAGATTCCGAGAGGAGAATGGAGGAGAAGGGATTACAGTGTGGCCATCCCCCCTGGGGGGGGTGATTTCTTGTTTTCTGTCTCTCTCTGTCTTTCTGGTGAGCACGTGCACCCTATAGCAAAAACCTCTAAAACAAACAAACAAACAAAAAACAACAAACAAACAGAAAAAAAAAAAGGAAAATAAAAACCTAGTGGGCTCTGTTTGGCCTAACTTCTGTATGTAACACACAGCCAGGCACCACTCTGAGGCAGAAGAGTGACATAGTCTTGTCTCTTGGGGGAAGGAGCGACTAGGGAGGTCAAACATAGTTTTGGTAAGTGAACTCCTTAGGAGCCCCCATTTCCACAGCTGACAGAGAAAAACATGTTTGACATTTGAAGTAATTTAGACTCTTCGAGTTTGTCCTTAGACTGTGTGGAGTAAACTTTCTCTTTTTCTCCTGGGGTCATCTGAATTTCCGGGGCCTATCTATGGATCTGGCATAGGATAGAGATCTGGTTCTTGTTAACTTTCTGCTATGAGGTACTCAAGACTTGCTTAGCCAGTACTTCTGCCTACCCACCCTTTCACCGTCTCTGATCTTTAGCCGCTTTCTCCATCTTTTCTCCAGCCGACTGCCACTTTGGCCTGTCTTTGTCACAGCTCTGCTGCAGGATCTCCTTCCCTGTGCTACAGGTGTGCCACCCAGCAGTCATGCTGATCTTAAATCTCAGTACCTTCCATATTCCTCTAGAGAGTCCCTAGGCAGTCGAAGACTGTCAAATGTCAAACACATTTTCCTCTGTCAGTTGTAGAAATGGAGGCTCCTATGGAAGTTCCTTCACAGAAACTTTGTTTGTCCTCCATAATCTACTGGAGGGCGGGGGAACCAGTCAGTGTGAGGGAACCTTGTCAGGCCTTGTCTGAGCTGCCAGCCATGAGACACAGCCTACCAAGGCCTCCCTGTTTGGCTTCTGTGAGATGATGAGACTCTTTCCTCCCGAAGTTCCTGCTGGTAAACAGGGTACCAGTCCCCATTGCTCTGGGAATTCTTTCTTTTATTATGTTTATATATTTATTTCTTCAGAGAGAGAGAGAGAGAGAGACAGCACCCACAACAGGGTCTTGGTGCAGTGATCCACCCCTAGCCTCAGCCAGCCTTGGGTCATGGGCGTCATGTGCCCAGGATGTTCAGAGAGGTCTCTGGATATGAACTAGGAACCTTCCCATGTGGGACAGCCTTACAGAACATTGTGTTTTACTGCTACAGCACCATCGGGCCTTCCTGCTCTGGCCTTTATAAAGGGGTTTCTTCTCTGCCCCTGGGATTCAACCCTGAGTTAGGGCAAGGGACAGGCCCATTCATGTTCTCTCCTTTCTGCTGCTGGTCTCCTAATCCCTCCCAGAGCTCCTTTCCTCACCTCCAGGAGGGGCTTGTCTTCTTCTTAGGGAGAAGAAACTGCCCCTTTGTTAACTTTATGCCTTCCCCACTCCAGGGCTTTAACACTCTGCACCCCAAGTCTGTTCAGCCCCTGGTTCTTAGTAGTTCAAGGGACACGCCTGAGATTTAGAAAACCCTTTTCATGTCCTTCAAAGTCTGGCTCTTTCTCGTGGAATTCTTGCCTTTTATAACACATCTTTTTCAAATGAGCCTCAAAAACAGCCTGTTTTTGGAGTCAAAGGCTGAACAAGATCTGTGTGTTCTCAGCTCCATCTACCTCCCTCTGAAATGATGGGGTTCTTAGTGTCAGAGCCTCAGGATAGACAGGAGTCCTGGACATGAAAACAACATAGGATAAAGGCAATTATTCTGTTATGTAGGGTGGACTTATTCTCCCCAGCGATATTTTTGTGGGGTCACACTCTTTGTGGGTCCGCCAGGGCTGGTGGTTGGGACTGTACCATCCTCTTAGCAAGTGTTCCCTCAAAGGACAGGAGCTTTGGACACAAATGAAAGGCCTGACATTCTGAAGTTCTAATCCAGTTTGTAAGAAGTTTCAGGAAAGGAAATGCTGTACATTTCTGACTTTGTTGGCTGCTGAGGGACTGAGAAACCGTGCAGGAGGAAGGGGGGGATGAAACTGACTGATGCATCAGCTGCACGAAGATGGCTTATGGCAGGGGGTGATAAAAACCTTTTTAAGTCTTTGTAAAAGCTGAGCTGTGAGCCAGTTGCTCGCTCCCTAAAATTGCCTTAAGGACCTGCTGTAGGCCAGTGCTTGTCAAACTTAAACGTGTCTACAGAGTGCCTGCACGATCTTGTGAAAATCCAGATTTGGATT